AAACAAAGTTTGGTTTAGGCTCATGGTATAGACATTTATCAAAGGTCTATAATATGGTGTTTGGTATCATATTGAAGAGGACACCCTTTAAGATGATGATTATACTACATTTCTCACCACAGATAATGAGACATATCGGTACCAACTACATTATGCTTGCTGATGATGTTGATTTCAGTCCAGCTCACTCATGAGTTCACTAAAAATTAAATAAAATCAGTGAGATTAGGAGCCATTGGGTTCCAGGTATTGAAAAGCCTTAATCTGCTATTCATTTACTACCACATTTCTTTGAACCCAGTGGGAACACAAAGAGAGTTAATAACTGGAATAGTCAACAACAGACTATGGCAAACTGCATTCCTCAGGGCCAGAGTCCTGAACCTTTTAGATTTTAGATTAAACCACCTGACCAGGATGCAGCCTCATTAGCAGAGCAGAGTTGGTGCAACATTGTAGCTTGTACATTTTTGAGCACATCAGCCTGTTGCAAATCAAGAACAGTCAAGTATCTCACACGACAGTGGTGATGTGGCTCCACGCATCATAGATGGAGAATGTTATAAAAAGATAGTGAGCTATTAGACTGTATTTAAAGACATAAACCATACATATCTGACCAGCTAGCCCGATACAGACCATAGTCAGATAACTTTACTGTCATCTTATGGTGAAGGCAATACAATGAAATTTTATTGCTTTCTGTTCAACGCTACTGGTTAGCTGAAGCCTAATGGCTGCATTTACTGATTTTAAATAAAATCAGGAAATGTAAAATTTTAATCAACTTATTTGTGGGCTGGACTGAAATCAACATCCTCAGAAAGCATAATGTAGATTATGCCTAAGGTTATTATCATTTGTGGTGATTATTTAATTTGGTCAAAAGATGTGGAAAAATGTGAATTATTTTTGGTTTAACAAGCTCTATTGACCTCTGTGTTGGTTAGAGAGACTCAAAACCTGGATTACATGAAAGCCAAGAGTCTCCCCTTTAAGATGAAACCAAACATTATATTATAGACCTTTGACAAATGCCCATAGCATGAACCTGAACCAGACATTTACCAGGCTCAATAAACAGAATTTGTGCTAAGGAGTCGTTGACTTCATGAGCTGATAACTATGACCGACCCAGCTACCATTATGGAAGGGCTATCAGACCAAGATATTAACTAGAGACATGGATCTTTACCAAAAACATGGACAGACTTTACCGCCCTTGAACGGGCAAAACCTGTCTGACTCTTGGACTAACAGCAGCAACTATAATGACGGCAATGGCACCATGCTAGGTAGTTAGCTAACCTGCTATTTCCGCTATTGTTCTTTGTTCGACATTCAAGACATTTTTGTCTTTCTCAAAGCAACCGGAACAACAAACCTTCTGATATGTGACTTCATGGCTCTTTGGAGTCTGTAGAAACCGAATAAACTGTTAACGGTTGATGTTTATTACCAATCGCTAAAAAAAACAGGAGTTCC